ACCTATGCCTAAACACTACATTCCACGTTGCTATACGCCTTATAACTATTATATCGTACGCTCTATTTCCGCCACACCGTATACGCTCAATCCTTACACTTATATCTAAACCGCCTAACATTTATTACATTACACCTATAATTTCGCTTACATACTATTTTCACCCTTACCGGGAATCGAACCCCGGTCTGCCGCGTGACAGGCTACGACCTTAATCACTCGACCACCGTAACGCTACAATCAACCATCTTTCTTCGTGTTTCGTCGCGTCATCTTAATATTAGTTACTCAATTGATTAGAAAATGCTCAATTAATTAGAAAATGAATCAAAGAAACAACATTGTGTTCCATAATATATTTTCAGTGGGGGACCCGATAGAATAGTGGTTAAGGTGCGTGGCTGTCACGCAGAGGAACTGAGTTCAATCCCCAGTATAGAGATAATACATAGGGCGTAAGGTAGACTAAGAATATAACGTAATATTAAATAGGTATGTAGGATAGAGAAATTGATGACATAGGTATGTTACGGTATAATAGATAATAGTTAAATTATCTACGATATATAATAGTATAGTATAATATAATAGTATGATAATAGTAAGATTATCATATCCCAAATTGAGCCTTATATCATAATAAACCATACCAATACCATAATAAATAAGCGTAGGTGTTAATACAATTAATATCAAAATCAATTTATGTTATTAGTGTACATAAATTATGTACTCAATGATTTCCTTATACTTATAATTGCTTTGGTTTTCACAATATAATTGCTGAAAGTCAAATATATATATATATATATATATATATATATATATACATGGTCTGTTCAAAAAGTACCCGGAATTACTAATAATTAAATTTCGCGGGTCTGGAGTGTCTGATTGTCAAAATTTTTTTTTTATTGTGTTGGTATACATGCCCCTAAAGTATGATGAAATTTTCAGCTATATTCACTGTTTACTTTGTCTGTGGTAGTCGCTAAGGTTCGACGTGTTTTTCTGAGCTCGGCGATTTTTACAATGGAAGAATTGAAAAAGTCAAAGAATTTGTATTAAATTTTGCGTAAAAAATGAAATAAAGTGTTGCAAAGTGCAAAAATTCACCAGATATGGCTCCGTGTGACTTTTTCCTATTCCCAAAGTTGAAGAGACCCATGAAAGGACGGCGGTTTTTCTCGATTGAAGAAAATCGCCGAGAGTGCTCAAGGACATATCAAAAAGTGAATATCAAGGGTGCTTCGAAAATTGGAAAAAACGCTGGCATAAGTGTATTATATCTGGGGGGGACTACTTTGAAGGGGACCACATTAATGTAGACGAATAAATAAATATTTTTTTGAAAAAACGAAAATTACGAAAACTTTTTGAACAGACCTCGTATATATATATATATGATTTAGTAGTTAATTTTGATGTTGAAATATATGAGAGTTCTTCAGGGCGATACATCAAACAAAGAAAAGCCAGGCTTTTCTTTGTTTGATGTATCGCCTTCAAGAACTCACTCATATATATATATATATATATATATATATATATATATATATATATGTATATATATATATATATATATGTATATATATATATATATATATATATATTCTTAGGATAACATTACAAGCTAATCATTCATTTTTCTCGATTATAATCAAGAGGTTATTACAAAATTGTCAAAACAATTTTTCTTTTCTAAAAAATTTCCATGTATAAATATAATTATGTATGGTTTTTCTATGTTTAAACATAATGAATAAGTGTTAAGTTCTTCTCAGTTGCTTATGTAGGAAAAGCGTAAGTTGTTTTACTACTCAAAATTTTGCTATGTTGAGAAATACAATATAATAGAAATATTTTATTATACAGAATTAGTTCCAAACTTTATTGATTTTTTATTAATACTCTACATTTATTTATTCGAAGTGTGATGTATTCTTATAAAAACCTTTTCATAACCCATTAAGAATATTTCAATTTGTTTGTTTTTTAATTATTTAAATCGCATGAAGATTTCTACTGCGTTAATCTTGCGCGGTCTAATAACTCGTACGTTGAATGAATAATTATTAGAACACATTTTGCATAGAAGTACAAAAAAGTAAAAAATTAATAAATAAATACAAAATAATAATATGCAAGAATGTGTATTCAAGAAAGTAGGTCTGCAATACGAATTTATTGCAATTTATATTTTGAGTATTAAAAGTTTTATCGTTATGTATTCAATTTTTATTGGTTGTCTCAATATACCATTATTATTTAAAGATTCATAATTTGTTACTGTTGAATATATACTTTTCTTCATCAATTGCACAGATATTTGAATCTTTAAGTGAATTATAAAATAAAATTTCAAAGAAATATTATACGTTCAGAAATGATTTTAAGTGCTGGTGTTAATAACTCTCTGTATTTGTTTTTTATATTGTAGTGATGATATTTTAAAATAGATAAAGAAAAAATAATACGTTGAATCATTTCCTCATAAATGTGTTGAATATTTAGTATATGTTTTGTTATTAAAAACAACAATTAAGTGCAGGACAGGTGAAAATCGAATTATGGGAAATTTATTTACTGGAATGAGTATAAAAATATGAATTTTGCATATACAATTATTTTTTATAATATACGTAAAATATTAATGATTCTGGTCTTACTAAAATAATTCTTCACCATCAAAGTACCATGTTTATAACTAAATCTCTATTTTCAAAAGAAAAAATATATAGGACTGTTTTAATTCAATTTCAATAAATTTTCAATGTTTGTTAATTAGTTTTGCTTCGAGTATATATTTGCATGTTCTATGTAAAATTAAGTTAAGCCTCGTCAAAGCAACACGTATATTGATGAATGATGAAAATTACAACATGTACTTTATAATATATAATTTATGAACTGAAAATTTGAGAAGGTATCTCAGCTCTGAGATATATTCCTAATTGGATCATACATAAAGACAAATTTTTATAATGTGAGGGAAAAATAGAAATTACGCTCAAAATCGTAAAGAAAAATATCAACCATTCTTATGAATTGGATGTAAAGTTATAAAACACTAATCACCCTCTCCAGACTTAAATTAAATAATCTCTTCGAATTAACTAAATAGTTATTTTTATTCGAATTATACTCAGATTTAGGTTTATCCTGTAAAATTTTCTTTATTTTCTGACCTATATGTTAAAACTCTGTTCATTAATGTTAGGTCCTCTACAGAGTAGCTTTTTAAAAGCCATTATAATTGAACGTATCCTAATTACTGTATGCATAATACAAGACAAGACTGAATGTCTGAGACAAGACAAGACTACAATTTATGTTGGAAATAAAAACAAGTTGAAGTTATTCCCTCTATATATATAATACATATTAAATTACACGGTATTTGACATGGTTGATCTAATTTTAAACTAAACGTGTCAACTACTAACACATTATTTATTTGTCATTGCGATAACTCCATTACAAAACATACAATGCTAAATGTGCATAATAATGGTTTGACAAATGCATCTCGCACCCATGGTCATTATGCTAATCACATATAATTACATTCATTTATGAAAATAGCTTTATAAATTAGCAAATTTCATTATGAAATCGTTACGCATTGCAATCATGTCAGACCCAAGCCATCCGATTTATAACTGTAACTGTTCTTCCCTCGCCTCGAACATGAAAACGTTTGTTTCTTCTTCATTAGAGAGGGCTCAGATGATAATAAATAATGTATATAAGACTATAAGATATTTAACACGTTGAAGATTATAAATCGTATTTCACTTTTATCAAGAAATTATTTACAAATTTATCAATTAGAGAGGGCTCAGATGATAATAAATAATGTATATAAGACTATAAGATATTTAACACGTTGAAGATTATAAATCGTATTTCACTTTTACCAAGAAATTATTTACAAATTTATCAATTTTGTATGGCGTATAAAAATATTTTAATTCAAAATACACTATGTCGAAGGTACTGAGTCTGATAAATAGCAAATGGTCGAATAGATTATTTTTATGTAATCTATGTCCAGTGTATTAGCGCTCCATATATCGTGTGCCAACGTTAGACGGATCTTCAATTTGTCAAAAAAAAATATTTCAAGAAAAACATATACCAAAAAGACGACAATTGATCAATTATCGAGTTAGATGTAAAGTAATTGGACTACTGATACTCGAACATCTATTATTTTGTGCTAGGAAAGTCAAAATTTGAGGTACTTTTTAATTCTGCATTATAAAAAATAAAATTTAACAAAAATCTGTGGCTTCGAAGTTTTAACAAAAAGTATTAAGGGTAGACAACCCTTGATTAAAATCTGAAGACACAAAAGTTTTTGATAGGGATGTAGGTACCATACAAAATTATGGCAAAGTTATGAAACTTCCCAACTCCTTCGTTTTTTTTCATTATCAGTCAATTTGCTGGGCATGCCACATAATATAATTTAAAAATAAATTATCAGATTTTGCTTCATAATTAAAAAATTAATGCATCAAAGCGCGATAATAATGTATCAAAATCTTGGAACTTCAATCGTGCCAATCCAATTTAAATATAATTTGATTAGGTTGGCACTTGCAAAGACTGTTAATATGACCCAGGAACATTTACATGTGGAGTGCTTTGCAGTGGATAAACTATTCATATATTTTTCATGACTTCTCCTGTCACTTACATATATACAAAACTTTGATTGAATTGCGCTCTATCTAAAAGACAATATTAAGAGCTAAAATTTTCAGAAAATTATTTTATATATATATATATATATATACGTATATATATATATATATATATATATCACTTATGTATAACAAAAATTCAATACTTACACGAATCATACAAATAAGTGGACAGGTTATAGATTCGAAGAGCACGAAATAAATTTTAATTTAAAAAACTATTTTTGATTAATTAACTAATAATCAAAAATTAATTAATATTATTACGGTTAATTTGATGTAATTTACCTGATCTTGTGAGAATTCAGTTAGAGAGCAGAACAGCTTAGTGGCACAAGTAGATATTCCAAAAAGCATCATCGTATTGAATATCATGAAAATAATATCAGTCGATCTTCCATGTAAGGGGTGTCACGAGGATCTAAAATAAAATTAATCAAATTATTTAACTTATACTGAAATTATGCAATTTTAACATCTATATAGATTTTACTGACAATTTTTTATATTTTTAGATTTATTAGAATTATTGAGAATCCTTTATTATATAAGGATTAAAGAAATGTTTTTGGCGACTGATGATGACACAAATGAATTTATAATATTACGTTTGAGAATAACAAAATGGATTTCACAAGATTAATTAATTAATTTGAAAACTCTATATTATCGTAATTAGAACATTGCGTTTTATAATAAGTCGTTTTTAAATTTTGCAAATTGTATAACATTATTTTATTGTTGGGCTGAAGTTTATTTTAGTTATATAAGTGTTACTTTCTTACTGTAACGAGTCGAATGAATGAAAAACATAAAATATGTAAATGTTTTTTTTTTCAAAAATCAAAGTACACTAAATAAAAATTACTAATACTTTCTTAGTTCTTATCAAGAACTTCTTAATATAAATTATCTACAGCCACACGAAATTGAGTTCTACCGCCTATATTATAGAGACGATTGAAAAAATTGTTAAAACAAAAATTCTCAGAAATTGTTTGTTTGTAAATTTGTATAGATTATGATGAATCATTGCAAAATCTAATAGGTTCAACAAAATCTCCAAAATAATTAAAATACCAATTGAATGAATTTAACCGCAATGAGTACAAAGAATTTACATAGTTCCAATTAAATCGATCAAATCGGCTATGTCAAGATCACTTATCTTTTGTTGATATGACAGTAGAAAGTATTTCTATAAATGACAAAAATAACACACATTTGAAATTTGCGTGGTCCCGAATTAGAACGCATGCTCGATGTTAGAGTAACAAATCCATTAGAACAACACGGATTCTGAACTTGATGTATTTGCTCTTGGCTCTGTGTCATTAAGATATTTATTCATCGAACAATAGAAAGCGAAATCAAGTCAAGAATAATCCATATGTACGCAAATACAAACATATTCACATACATACATATACATTTATTATTTCCCGGTGTTGGGCGAATATAAAAATATTTTTATTTGTCATAAAATTATTTTATTGCTTTAATTAATAATTTTATTGTAAACTTGCTTTCACAATGCTATATAGTTTCAATGGTAATAGTACAAATAAAATTATCCAGGTAACATCCAGGCCCTTTGCCAATATACGCCAGAAATAGTTTGGTATGACAAACCATGCCCAAATGTACAACCCATAGCGACATTTTGACTTTTTTATTTTAAAAATATGGTAATGTGATTTTTTTGTTAAAATATCAAACGTTTTGAGTAAAAAGTCCAATCGATGAAAATTTAACACTGTGTTGTGTATGTATGGTTAATGAAATAAAATACGGCCTGGATTGTTGTATAAAACAACAATATCAAAATCCTTTATTAATTTGAAATGTTGTTAAAAAGCTAGAGGCGCGCAACTATGTCCCGAATCGGCTGATCCACCAGGAAGAAATCAGAAGATATGCATCTGAGTGCAAAACCAGACTAAAATATCATTCGAATCAACTCACCAAAGACTTGCGATCTCATCGAATATACTCAGAAGACTCGCAAAAACTAACCCTCTATATTTAGGTAATTTATTATAAATTTATGATTTAGCAAATAGCATATAATGTAAAGTTATTATTACTGTACTAATTTTTTCTCCCCCAATTTCAAACCTAAAATGGCTACCAATGCGTAGCATTTTTTTAATTACAATATTTATTACAACTGTTAAATAATTAACATCTAGCAATAATGACAAATACTAACATAAATTTAAATAAATAAGAGTGCAAAGGATAGAATTTACATTAAAATAATATCCGTAGTACTGCGTAGCATTTTAAAATCAATATTTACACATTTGTCACCAAAATTACTGAATCTCTCACCAAGCAGATAGTAATTAATTAATTATATGGGAAACAAAGAAATATTATTAAATTATTCAATTATTAAAATATTATTAAATGTTTCAAAATAAATCATTCTCATATTATATAATGCATTTAATAAAATAATTCTATGTAGCAAGATAAATCTTACTGAAGATAAATAATGTTTCAATGTGTCATAGAGGCTTATAATAGGGTTAAGCTGTAACAGGCATTTTTCAATAGTATCTTAAACGATAATAAAATATTTTTTGTCTCGATTGGGCATGTAAAGCATTCTGCATAATATTGACCAATGCAGTAAACAAAATTGTGCAGGTGCGTCATTTTTAGGTAATATAAAATTGATCTATCATAAACTCTTGGTTTGCGTTAATTACCACTGGAGTTTAAAAATTAATGAATCTTTGATGATGTGTTATAATGTATGTGATTGCTAAATTGTTTAAGTAGTTATGCTATTAATAAATGAAGAGAGCAGATAATATGAAATTATTTTTCTACTACTCTGAAGGTAGAAGATATTCTGAATAGAGAATATACGTCCCTTAGACCTACATTGAGCATTATCTACCATCGTTTTGCCAATTTCAACACAAACGTGCATGTGATATTAATACAAAAGCAATATATAACAAATATTAATTATAACATAACGATTACCGAGCACAGAGGCACTAGAATTATCGATTTCACTATGTCGAACTATTTATTAGTACGGTATTACACATGAGATCGTGCTAGTTAATTCACAAGTAAATGTTCAATTAAAACTCATAGTATAATTATTATACGCTATCAAAGTAGTAGATTGAATGAAAAAGTCCCAAATTGATCCATGGATGCTATTAAAACTGGCACGAGAGGTAATATGAAGTAAGTACAGGCAGACTATAACGGCGCAAGTGTGCTATCTTCCTAAATTAGATGCTCGAATGGCAAAATTATAATAAAATATTTGATTTTAATAGTTATTGTGAAATGAAATATCAGTAGTTATAGGAACTTAGTTTCATATTTCCAGCGCTCCTCACTAATGAATTTAATTGTGCTTAAACCAATACCATATTCTGGGTATCTAATATTAATTATATTTAGATTGTATGGTCTTTTTTGACTTTTTTTCTAGTTATAAATTTGAATCCATTTGTAGTAATCTTATATATAAAAATGGAGCTCTCGATCAAATGATTCGGTAAAACTCGAAAATGGCTAACCGATTTGTCGTCTTAGTCTTGACAAATTCGTGCTAATCCAGAGATGGTCGTAAAGGTTAGATAATTTCAAAATCGCGTAGAACCTTTACATTTTTAACTTGAAAAATTTTTGTAGAAGCGTAATTTAAATAAAACAATTGACGGTGGCAAATGTCAAACGTTTACGACAGATGATGTTCATTACATTTAATAGGATGCCTTACGTAAATATTATTTAATAATGATTAAATTGTAGTAAGTAGTTTTGTTTGTAGTTTTATTTGTACACAAAAACGTTAATAAACAGGCCTTAAGTGTTAATAGAAACTCAATATATTAACTTTTTTGAAATGTTAATATGAAAATGCACTTTTTGGCATATTTTTCTCAAACTCTGCTCTGAAAGATCTCTTTTGTATAATTATATACTCATTGGTATTTATAAACATTTTCTAGGTTATATTATTTTTTATGTTATTTTAATTCAGAACCTAAATTGGTATCGATCAAAGGGACATTTTGTCAAATGAGATTTTCCCAGTTACAATTAGTGAATGATAGTAATTTATGAAGGTCCGGTGTTAAAAAGGTCCAAGTTAAGCATCGTTTACCAACAATATTTGAAAGTAGAGGGAAAAAAATGTATAACCAGCTATAAACTTGATTCTTATGACATTGCTATCAAGAGATCAACAGTAATCTTTGAAAATCCATAATACTTTTTATTACATTTACTTTAATTCATCGAATATTACTTGAAACTTTTCAAAAGCAGGTCAAAGAAGAAATACTTAATTCATTTTCTATCTATCCTCGCAGAAATTTAAAATTTTTGTATACTTCTTAGTATTATTTTACATTATACACAAAATCCAGATCCAAAAGAATCTGAAAACTTGAAACGTAATCATAAGTCGAAAGACCAAAAACGACTGGATTGAGTATACCCATGTTTTTCAATAGAAAGTAATAACCGTTTTAGTTTTGATTGTATTGTCAAAACATATACAAACTATGGAGGTTTACTGTTTTAATAATATTGTGACGATAATCATAATTATCGTCGTATTGATAATTATTGTCGCCTGATGGTCGTCAACCCCAGGGTACACCATCCCTACCACTACCCCTAACTATCTATTGGTTCTTGGGTCCATCAGAGAGACGCTCCGGAGATCCTGGCAATTAAGAAGTTAGAGCCAACGAAGACGTATCCCATAGGCGAACGCCTTGGGATACGTTAGTGTTAGTTGTGTGTGTGTTGTGCAACAAGGCAGGTCCAGCTTAAAGGTCAGATAATGTAAATTATAAGCTGTAGCTATTCTCCCCTCATATCTCCACATAAGCATATATACCATGATATAAGAATAAGTGGTATTAGTTAGGGAACATGACCGTATGCAAGTACGGTCATGTTCCACAAATACATGCGGAATGTATTATTAATTATTTAAATAGATTTAGTTATGAAAGTAATCTTGGTTTCATTCGTATAGTAGCTACTAACCCCCACAGGTAATTACAGGTACTTTAGCGGGCGATTGGAGTGTTGAAGTAACCCTTCGTAAGGGGATTGCAAGGCTAGAATATAATATTTGGCAGCCATTGCATACCCCAAGAAGGGGGCTTCAACCCTTCTCGTCACAATGGTGAAAACGCATTCGATCCCCAACTTACAAATTTTTATTTTATATTTAATAATATTTAATAAAAAACCAAGCGAGTAGCTCCCACTGTATACGTGTTTCGGTTGTATTTTTAATGCGTTCGTAATTTTTATAGAAGTTGATAGAAATAAATCAAATTTTAAACGTCGCGAATTTCTTTATGCTTG